CCAGGCAGTTTTCATCTGTAAAATTCTAAGAACACATCCTGACCTTTGAATGCCCTAAGCTCAGACAGTTTTAGAGAAGGCCCCCCTTAACTCACTTCCCATCTACTCCTGTCACTAGGAGTGTTGCTAAGCCCTGGTTCCTGTTGTAGTTTTCTGTAGATTGCTTTACAGGTACTGCTGTTGGCAGCTGCAAGTCTCTTACGCTCTTTAAGACAAATAAAATGGTTAACACAAAAGTAGATTATAAGGCATATGATACTATTATAATGCATATAATACTAAAATAATCCTGTAAATATATTTGCTAATGCAGATTACAATATTGATTATAGACGGCCAAGCATTTCATATAGTATTAGTAAATGTCAACAATAAGACCTTTTACCCACTTATGGGGTGGCTGTGGCTCATGAGCTAGGGCAGTCGTCTCCTGACCAGCAAGTTGGTGGTTCGACTCCTGGTCTCCCCGCATGCCTAAATGTCCCTGAGCAAGACACTGAACCCTGAATTGCTCCTGGTGGCTTGATTAGCGCCGTTGTGTGGCATCTGTCGTCATCGGTGTGTGAATGTTCTGTGTGAATGGGTGAATGGTGTATCATCTCTGTAAAGCGCTTTGGCCAGTGTAACACACTGTGGAAATGCGCTATATAAATACAGTCCATTTACCATTTACTTACATCTCTGGCTGCAGACAGCCCTGTCATCTCGTTCTGCCTGCGCACACCTCCTGTTGTTGTGAGTCTCACTCTGCACCCTCTCACAAGCACAGGCTCATGTGCACAGGTCAAGTTTTTCCAAAGGTCAAACAGATTAAACAATTATTTGAACAGTTTTGCAAATACATAACATAGCACTATATCATTTTACCAAGAATTTTTTTCTACACGTTCCATGTATGCCCTGCCTGCTAGCTTCTTGCACCCTGCTGTTATGTGATGGATTGTCTCAGGGGCATCTTTGCACAGCCTGCACCTGGGGTCCTGTTAACATACTCGGTCACAAAATCAGTGGGCTATTGTTGATCTATGAGTCACTTCATCACAGATACAGGCACAGGTTTAACTTGCTACTGTTAAGTAAAGTTAATTTTCAGTTTCAATAAAAAAAATCAGGTGAGGTAGGATTTTTAGAAAACCAATAATAACTTTGGCAAAACATTCACTTCACCTTTTCTAAGCCACACTAGAGGAACTAATCTGTCTTCTTGGAGCAGGAGACGCCATCTTTAGGTATTAACTGCAGGTGAAAATTAGTTTAAACCAATTCCTTAAAAAAACAAACATCAGATAATGTTTCAATTAAATCTCTGACAAAGAGCTTGTGTGTACACAGTACAAGCAAAGAAAGAATGCACAGATCCAAAGAAATGTAAATGTTGACACGTGTTCAAGTGTACACACACATACACACACGCTCAAAAGATGATTAGTCTAACAGATGCTCTCATTGACTCACTCATCAGAGCCTAATTACAAGCCTGTTGCACTAGAAACGAGCGAGTCCCAAGTGTGGTGGTAGGAGGCTGATGGAGTGGAGGCTCTGGATGCTCCACACACACAGCTAAATGTCATTAATTTTGAGATGACACACAACACTCTGCCTTTTAATAGGGACACACACACAGTGATCATCACACACTGATGTGGAGGCGAGGCTGCTGACAGGAGCTGATTTACGACTCAGCTCGTTGTCACATCTCTGAGTTGCTGCCTGGGCTCCCTCTGCTACCGCTGAAGTTCCAGATAGTCACATACTGTATGTAGTAAAGGAAAAAATAAATAGGTCTGAGTTGTACAGATGATACAGGTCAGACTTATTAAAGAAATAGCTCATCTTTCTACTAGGAGTTCTTCTTAATGATGTAAGAACTCCTAGGAGTTTTGAGGTTTGTAGTTTTCTCTTAAGCCTCTTTTATTAAAGTACCAAGAAAACTAAAACTAATCACCTTGTCTGCAGTGACCGGTCTGTAAAATGTTAGAAAATAGCAACAGAATGCACGTTATCATTTCCCCCAGTCCAAGTGGACTTGTTTTGAGCGACCAAGAGTGAAATCTGAAAAGATGACCAGTGTTTCCTTAAAAAGTCTGAAACTCAATAATTTTAGGCCTTAAAAAGGGTTAAAAAGGCCTTAAATACAGTTTTGATAGGTCTTAAAACACTTATGCTTGAGCAGTCACCAGCCACATCAACCTGACCAGTGTTTGATTGTTTGTTGTGTCTTGTTTCTTTTCTTCTTATGTCTCTCCTCTATCCACTCACCCCAACCAGTCGAGGCAGAAGGCCGCCCACCAAGAGCCGGGGTCTGTCGGAGGTTTGTTCTGTTAGTTTTTCCTCCCTGCTGTCGCCAAGTGCTGCTCAGGGGATTTGTTGGGTTTTTCCTCTTATTATAATATTAGTAAGGTCTTAGTTTGTAAAGTGTCCTGAGACACTTTGTTGTGATTTAGCGTTATACAAATAAAATTGGATTAAAGTTGAGGTTGAATAGGGTAAGTTGATTATTTTAGCACTAAATTGATTAAGTTAACGTTATAATATCATGTTGTGCTTTTGTGTGTTTTTATTTCGGCCATACAGAAACTACAAAACCAACTTGGAACAGGAACATTTGCAAACTTTGCAGCCCGGTCAGAATATATTAACCCTGATGAAACGTGCAGGAACCCTGGATCACTCTCATGTATGACAAATCCTCACATTTGAGGCTTGAACCAGCAAATGATTGTCTTAAAAATAACTAATAGGATCATCATTTATCAAGTTTCTTACCGTCAGTTGACTAATCAATGAAATGAACAGTCACTGCAGCTCTAGAGTGAACAAATCTTTATTCATTAATTTGGTACTTCTATGCCAGTTGTACCCTGAAATCAGCTTCATTTCATCTGATGGTCAGTAATTTGTGAACAGTGTGGGTCTGAGGAACACGTTTGGTTTCACTGTGACAGCTGAGATATTCCAGCAGTTTTACAGTTATTGTGGAGTCGTGCAAACCATCATCTGATTTAAAGCCTGGACTGTCGCCTCCTGGCTGCAGTCAGAAGGTCTGCTGTGAACTGTTAGTGAGCTTGTTTTGCCATTGTGGGAGTAGAATTTGACATGTTGTGGTTGTGGGTCTAAAACAAAACGTCACCACAGACCAGACTGGACCAGACTGTCTTCCAGCCTTCTGCACCTTCTGCACCTCCATGTCTGTCTGCAGAAATGAAGGCCTTTCTGGTCGACTTTTGTCGACTTGTTTTATTCGTCTGTACTACATTGTGGCCGGTGGGTGGATCAGGTTCTGTAGTTTCTGGCCAGGTTTTCTTAATGCAGTGTGAGTTAAGAAAACACAGGATCAATAAATCCGCCCGGGGGCTGTGGAGTCCTATGGACCGCCTCCAGCTTGTCTCAGAGTAGGTTCTGGAGTTTTCACCCAAGTTGTGCGAACACTTCCCTTTAATCAGAGCGCTGCCCCTTTTCATCTGCTTCCCCTGCACATCACATGTGCATGCACTGACTGACAGGCCTGACACCTCCCCCGTGTGCTGTAGAACTTTTCCGGGTGGTTGAGTTTTAATAGCTGTACAAGGAGAATTCACTGCTGCGATTTGCTTGGCTGTTTAGGCAGTTTGGCTTTTAAGACCTAATCTTCCTCACTGGAGTCCGACGGATTTTCCATCTCTTTGTGGACGCTGAATTACTTTGGACTCTTCTGCATGCAGAGCACTCGCTCCCCCTCTCCTGGAGTGTCCAGCCAGATGGTCTCGCTTCACCTTCCAAAGCCCTTTGCTTTTGCTCGGGGACAGTGAAGAGCAGCCAGATTTCTGTCTTCATAATCACCTGGTTCGCACATACAACCTTTGAACAATATCAAACTGTGTATGTTTCACTTGTTTCAACATTCCTGGCATCATATTGTTGAGTTTTTTAAATTCTGTGCATTTTTGCCTGTTTGTAACTTGTTTGAGACTTTGAGTAAGTTAACACCAAGGTGGACAAAATGATTGTCAGGTTGTCAGTAGTGTTGAAATTGTCTGGCCAGATACCCATGCATGACTGTAAATTGTGTTGGGGTTAAGGCAGGTGAAGCTTGGGGAGATTGCTGCCTTCCAACGGGGATGAGTTGTGCACAGAAAAGAAAATATATTGGTCAGACAAGAACCATCATCACCACAGTGTCTCACCACTGTCTGATATTTCATTAGAGAGCAGAAGTTATGTCAGAGGTGGAGGGTGGTTCTGAAGCGGCTCCTCTATGAAAGCCTTTCTACTAATGCCCTCCTGCTGTCTGTTTCCTTGCAGCTGGTCAGGAGGATCTATAAGGGAATTCCCCTGCAGCTGCGAGGCGAGGTCTGGTGTTTGCTGCTTGATATTCCCAAAATAAAGGAGGAGAAGAAAGACTTCTATGAGGTATGGAGCCGGAAGCTCACGGCGAAACACAACACACGCCCACTCCAGCCTCTGAAGCCTCTGCAGCAGAGCAGCATTCATCACAGCACAAAGCTCATTAACATTCCTAAATGACCCACCCAGCACCTTCAGTATTACTGTAGGGAAGAAGTGGGTTTACTTAGAGGTTTCATTGTGTTTGTGTGAAACCGCACAGCTCGTTTAAGAACATTTAGTTCTGCATTGAGACTCTGGATCCATTTGACAGCTTAGCTGATGATGAGTTCAGGGCACATAAGAGGAAATATGGACAGTGAAGATGAACCAGTGAAGGGAATCTGTGTCAGAAATGATCCACGAAGTCTGTCTTTTTACAGAGGTATTTATTTAACGTGGTTGATGCCGAGTGTGACACATTAAAACCCTGTGAGTGGATGATTTTGTTTGATGCATCTTATCCCTCAATATTTCATTAATTCCTCAAGGTCTTTTTAACCTTACAAACGATAATTCTTATTTAATTTTATTTTGAATAAACATTTTAGGATCAGTACCCGTTTAATGCACAAGACGGCTCAAAAATGACAATGTATTCTTAATGGAATTTAATAGGAAACTAATTTGCCTGTGTAATTAAGAAAGTTTTATCGTGGATTACTCCTCTGCAGGTCACAGGGTCACCTGCCTCCACGGGGCTGTACGATCTAAGTTTGCCTATGGTTATAAAGTAGAGTAGCAGTACCACTAGTCCAGCATTCCAAACCTTATTTAAGTACAAAAGTATCAGCATTAAATTAAAGTACCAAAAGTAAAAGTACTCCTTATTCAGAATCACACATTTCACATTAATGTATCTTAGATGATTGGATTCTAATTACTGATGCATTACTGTGTTTATCTCTTCAATGTTAACAGCTGGTAAAGGTGGAGCTAACGTTAACCACATTACTTATAATTTATTTTACATACTGCTGGGTAGGTTGTAAAGTTACCATCAGGAATCAGTATCGTCTGATTATACTGTATTTTGTTTTATTTATCTGATTGTGAAAAATGATCACATACATCTAGTGCAGTAAAAAGTACAAGATTTGTTCTGATATGTTCATTCTACAGAGTAAATGAGGTAAAAAAATAGAATATACGTGGTTGAGAATATAAGCTGGTGTCCATTTGAAAACATGGTACTGTGATTTGTTCTTTATTGATCGAGCTGCCACATCTGTCTAGAATCATGCCAGAATTAAAATGACTTTTTAAAAAAACAAAGCAACTGATTGTTTCTTAAAGTCCTATCTAATGACATACTCCTCATCGTCTTAACACAAGCTTCCCAGCTCAGTCCATTTGTAGCAGATGTTCTGCCAGACCAATGTTGTTGTGAGACTGCTGTGCGATGTGTAGTTATATTGACACATTTCAGTAAATCTCTTTTATAATGAGTACTGATGAGAGAACACAATACTGCAGACATGATTTCTTTGTTGTCTACAGAAGTTAAAAGCCAGAGCCCGAGGAGTCTCCCCCGACATCCGTCAGATTGACCTGGATGTGAACCGCACCTACAGGGACCACATCATGTTCATGCATCGCTACGATGTCAAGTAGGTAACAACTACACTGCGGCCCCCTGAAACGAGCAGTCAGAGGTGATACTAGAGCTTAGCAGCGACAGCTCTGTGGTGTGCAAGTGTCAGCTTGTTCATAAACTGACCAGCACGTCACAGTAGAACTTGCTCTATTAGCTATCCTGAGCTGTCAAACCTCACAGCTGCATTCCACTGATTTTCTTCAGCACCTTTGGTCAGAACACGTTACTTCTCCCTATATTATTTTAGATTTAAAACATTTTTATCACATCCTCTATAGCAGGAAGCTTCTGTTTGTGGAGTAAATAGAAACATTAGCATGTGCATAATC